GGTAATGTCAGAACCAGGCTTTTAACACTGATTCTATTCTATTTAAATTCATTCTACGCAAAACTGTTCAGTCCTTACTAGGTGCAAAGTATGATGCTAGGAATTCTCATGGATAGCAATATGAAAAAAGTGGTTAAAAGCATATATTATCTCCACCTTTTATAGACTCACATTCAAATACAGTGTTTTTCATTTCCAACAGAGGAAAGAGAAACAATAACTATACCCCTGCACATATATGTGCACACACACTCACAAATACAGACTTACACACACATGTACGACTGCATATGTGTATGTGTATATATTTATATATACGTATATATAAATTTGAGGTATTTGCATCACATGCACATCTTAAGTATGTGTTGCAAGAGGATGAGGGAGACAAACAATTAGTGTGGAGGTGGGAGAAATCAAAAAGTTGCATGAGATTGTATTCTTAAAAAAAAATTAAAATGTTTCAAAGGCTGTTAAGTCTTATATCTCCACCATACAACAGAACAGATTTATAACACTGACCCCATTTTTCAAATAGTGTCCAGAAAAAGAAATTAGGCACTAGTATTCAGCTGTATAGTCCATTTTGGATCTACGATGTACCCCTACAATCATGAGAGCAGTCTTATCATTAATAATAATGATAAATAATAATAACAACCATCACTGGTATATGATCATGTTTAAAAATCACACAAACAAGTGGAAAAGCATAAACACAGATTTCATTTTAGTGCTGTTTGAATGTTACCTTTTTAGGATTTTTCTTAGGATTCTAAACTCACAGTTTTGTTATCAAACTGACTCTCTTCATTGCAGACAGATCTTGAGTAGTTAGCAATTCTGTTAAATATTTTCCAAATGTAAGGGAGGACACCATTTCCAATTTTAGAAAGGTATCTTGTTGGTCAGGAGTCTTCTGTTTAACAAACTCAACTTATGTGTTGATTCTAAGAGTCTAACTAAACAAGCGGGACAACTGGTAATCAGTGAATTCTTAAGGCTTCTTTTATCTGATTTTCTTTACACAATGGTCTGCTTGTTTCAGTTTTGTGTGTATTCATTTTGACTGCCTGTTAACGTCTTCTATTTATAATAATAGTATGTGAAAGTAGTATCTAATCTCTAAGCTAGTATGTAATTGCAGACCATCACTATAATTGTGCAGATAGTGGAATATGTTTGAAATCAGTAGAAGTGAGTTTGCCATGAAGCTAAAAGGAAGCTTCAGGACCTTTCACTTCTAAGTTTCCCTTTAACATTCTTGGATCTAAATTTGTATTTTTTTGTATTTTTAATTTTGTGTTTTTGTTCTTTTCCTTTATAAAGATCTCCCATATCTTAATGAGCTTCAGAGCCCAGAAAACTTATCTGGCCCTGCTTTTCATCTGTATTGTAAGAATTAATTTGTTTTAATACCTTTTTTTCATACTATTTTAGCTTCATGGGAATGGGGCTAGTTTTTTTTTTCCTTGTTTCTCTACAGTCCAGCATTTAGTTCAGTAAATGCTTTGTGAATTAGTGACTAGGTCATGTGCATTTGTTGTGTTGAGCTGGTGAAGGAGATTTTTCTTTTGCATTCATGCATCTTTATTAATAATGAATTTGTTGCAGTTTTTAAAAAAGTAATCTATAGAAATTATCTCATCACTTAAAAGTTAAAAATATCTATATGCAGAATTTTAAATTAAATTCCCATTGCTGCCAATATGCACAATAGTTTGCAACAATGTAATCTAGCTTCAAGTATTAATGTTCTTTCTGTTTTCTTTTTTGTTTTTTTCTTTTTAAAATTTTCTTGGAGTATTTTCCAAACGGGAACTAATGAGAGAAGGGGTATTACATTTGGACAGCTTTGTAGAGTCTAAGAGGGCTTCTGGATGGTAAGCCTAGCCAAAGAAAAATGCTATGGTGCCTCATAGCATTAATTTAAAGCTGTCATTTAATATAAGATGTCCATTTTGTCTTTCTTTATTTCTCAAGTTGCTTATTTATAAATCTCCACTCTATTTTTCAGGAGTTGACATATGTTGACAGTTGACATGTGTCACCTGAGAGCTGATATACCCTAAGAGCTGAGCAATACATAACAAATTAATACAATTATACCATGAAGACATGTCCTTGTTTCTAAATGAGACAACTGAGGTTCCTATTTAGATTTTCAAGAAAACAAAATAGTCTTCTCCTTTTTCCATCCCTTGTTCTGATCATTTCCAAGGTTTTTATGAAAATGCAAAACAAAACCAAATTTGCTACTTCCTGACCATAGAGATGACTAATTAAGGACAATCTCAAACCTAGTTTTCCAACTGGCTTTCTGTTTTATTTGGAAAGATCTGAAACTTTTTTTTTTAATTAATTCCAAATTACATTTCTGCTTTAGATCCTTCAATTCTAAACTAATGATATGTCTAGTAACATGGAGCAATTGTACACTAAGCGCTTTCAGGGTCTCATGTTCTGGAGATAAAGTACCCCTTTTGCAACGGCTCCCCTTTTCTGAGTTGTGCTGTTTCCTGTTTGTTAAGTAGTGGCCCCACCTGGGAAAGTATGGTTATGTCAGCCAAAATTCAACTCCAGTTTACATTAGACTCTGTGGAATATTCTAGTGCTATTCAGTGTTCACAATCTCCTGGATTTTGCTGTGTTTATGGCCCAGTCTAATTTACATGTGGTGTTTGTTGGGAGGTTATCAGAAGCTATTTGGACTTCAAACTCTTTTTAAATTAAATAATGTGGCACTATTGCTAAGATAGCTTTTAACAGTTTAACCCACCCAACAGATTCTCATTACAATGCAAACTGAAGGAGAATAAAATTCTTCTTAATTTAGGAGAGTTTTAAAATGAATGGTTTTGCCCCCCACCCACTTCACACGTACGTAGCAAGAAAGCGCCCCGGGTTTCACCTTTATTTGAAATGGTGGCGTTTAGAAAATATACCAAGAAGGCCGGGTGTAGGTTGGATCCGTTAGCATTAATCCCAGAGGATGGAAAATTAGGAGCAAAGCACTTTTAAAGAGAAGTAAATAAATTTCCTATACGGACGCTGGTACTCACCTCTTCCAGACCACAACACATGAGCCTGTCACTGTAAAAGAACCTTCTAAGTTAGCCACAGCTCTGATAAAACTGTGAGAACGTTTTCTGGATCATTCCGCGGTGGCCTTTAACTTTTGTCCTCCGCAGCGGGGTGCTAACGTTTTCTGGATTTTCCTGCTCTTTAGAATTCTCCACCAGAGGGAGGACAAGGCAAGGCGAAGTGGGTTTCACCCGCAGTTCTGAGCGAAGTTTGAAGCCGAGAAAGCGAGCATTGATGAATCACGCATCTCTGGTTCCGTCTCTCCGCTCTCCTGCTCGCTCTCTCAGCAGGACTGACTCCAGCTTTTGCAGTCATTTTATTGTCCGTGTGATTGCCTTTCCACTGGGGTTTTATCAGCTCTTTTAAAAATTAAGTTATAGTGAGAGAGACAGTTTATGACCCCCTCCTTTGAAGAGGACGGGCTATTATTATTATTTATTTTAGGGAAAGCTGAAGATGAGAATTCCGACAGGCATGTCGTTAAACGCACGAAGACAGGACACACACACACACATCCAAGGAGTAGCTTTGGGAAGATGGTGACATCCGACCACCTTTAAGGTTCCCTGAGCCCTTCCCGTGTGTCCAGAACCGCTTTACACTCAAACCCCTTTCCACCCAGAGTTCATCTTTGCCCTACATGCTTGCGGGATTTTTCACTAACGTAAGGAAGGGCTGAACCCCAGAGTGAGAAAACAGCCAACAGTCCTTTCCTTCCCACGGGTTCCAGAGCTTTCATTTGGCGGGCAGGTGTCAGAGTTGCAAACTTTTGTCTCCAGCACTTCTCCGCGCAGAAGGGAAGGGAGCGGCCCTCCCGGGCGCTGCCTGGCTGCGGAGAGCGAGGCGCCGGAGCTCCCGGGTCCCTCCCTGGGTCCCGACTCTCCCC